AAACTCCGTCTCAAAAAAAAAAAAAAAAAAAAGAAGAAGCCAGGATTTGGCAGGGGAGGCTGCTGTACCTGGTGAAACCCATTGCATCTCTGTAGGGATGGGATCTCAGGGAAGCGTCTGGCTGGTGGCAGCACCTCTCTCCCCAAGCCCTGGGGTCTGAGCTGCCACCCCCGGAACCGTCCTTAGGCTAAGATGGTGGCCGAGGCAGAGGCAGCAGTGCTGGGGCAGCGGCGGGCCGCAGTGGAGACAACGCTTCGGGAGACCCAGGAGGAAAATGACGAGTTCCGCCGGCGCATCCTGGGTTTGGAGCAGCAGCTGAAGGAGACTCGAGGCCTGGTGGATGGTGGGGAAGCGGTGGAGGCGCGACTTCGGGACAGGCTGCAGCGGCTGGAGGTCAGTGCCTCTGCCCACAGTGTCGGCTTCCTGCCGGCCCTCTCTGCTCAGCCCTGGTGCAATACCCCTACGCCAAATACTCAGCCATCAGTTTTATTTTGCCCTAGCGGGCATCTGTTTTGCCTTCCCAAACCCTCTGTCAACCTTGGGTTTATTTCCTGGAGTATACTTTGGCACCAATGTTCCAGTCTTTGCACTGGTATTTTTGTCTCTTACCTCCTGCCCTTGGCTTGCTCTCTGTGTCCTGATTTCTTTGCTAGGAACCTGTTTTCATTGTGCACCATTTTCATAAATACCTCATTTCTCCTACCCAGCTACCTACCTCCAAACGACTGAACCCAAGTTTTGCCTTCTCTCAGTCCAACCCTGCTTCCCTACCTCTCAGGCAGAGAAACAGCAGCTGGAGGAGGCCCTGAATGCATCCCAGGAGGAGGAGGGGAGTCTGGCAGCAGCCAAGCGGGCACTGGAGGCACGCCTCGAGGAGGCTCAGCGGGGGCTGGCCCGCCTGGGGCAGGAGCAGCAGACACTGAACCGGGCCCTGGAGGAGGAAGGGAAGCAGAGGGAGGTGCTCAGGCGAAGCAAGGCTGAGCTGGAGGAGCAGAAGCGTTTGCTGGACAGGACTGTGGACCGACTGAACAAGGAGGTGGGGCATGGGGTATTCTGGGCCTTTAGGAAGAGGCCCAGCTCATCCAGAAGCTGGCCTGAGGGGACAGGAGGTTGTGAGAAGGGGGGTTGGTCAGAATATATGATGTTTACAGCTGGGTGCAGTGACTCACGCTTGTAATTCCAGCACTTTGGGAGGCTGAGGTGGGCAGACACCTGAGGTCAGGAGTTTGAGACCAGCCTGACCAACATAGCAGAACCCTGTTTCTACTAAAAATACAAAAAAAAATTAGCTGGGCGTGGTGGCTCGTGCCTGTAGTCCCAGCTACTTGGGAAGCTGAGGCAGGGGAATCACTTGAGCCTGGAAGGCAGAGGTTGCAGTGAGCTGAGATCGCACCCCTGTACTCTAGCCTGGGTGACAGAGCAAGACTTTGTCTCAAGGAAAAAAAAATGTGGGATGTTTGCTTTCCTCAAGAACAGTTTTGGGAAGACCAAGACCAAATCTTCTGGAAGGGGCATCCTTCCTATGTCCCCACCATGTTTTTGTCCTTTCCCTCACATCCTATTTCTTTATGGTCTTCATTCTTGGAGAGCATCTCCTGAGATTCTCCCTTAGGAGTCTACAAAACCTAAATACAGGAATCTTCATTGGCTAGTTTGTGCAACATATTGAGGCTCCGTTGCTACTTAGAAAAAAAAAAAAGGACCGGGCACGATGGATCATGCCTATAATACCAGCATTTTGGGAGGCCCAGGTGGGTGGATCACAAGGTCAGGAGATCAAGACCATCCTAGCCAACGTGATGAAACCCCATCTCTACTAAAAATACAAAAATTAGCTGGGTATAGTGGCGCACGTTTGTAGTCCCAGCTACTCAGAAGGCTGAGGCAGGAGAATCACTTGAACCTGGGAAGCAGAGGTTGCAGTGAGCCGAGATCATGCCACTGCACTCCAGCCTGGGCAACAGAGCGAGAATCTGTCTCAAAAAAAAAAAAAAATTAGGTGTGATGGCTTGTGCCTCAGTTTCTCTTTTTTAATTGAGACCTAGAGAAGATAAGTAACTTGCCTGTGGTTGCTAATTAGTGGTAGAGCCAGGATTTGAACGAGACATCTGTATTCCAGCTACTCGGAAGGCTGAAGTAGAAGGATTGCTTGAGCCCAGGAGGTTGAGGCTGCAGTGAGCTGTGATTGCCCCACCGCACTACAGCAAGACCCTGTCTAAAAAAACCCAAAAAACAAACAAAAAAAACTACACCGGTAGAATATATTTTTTTTTGAGATGGAGTTGTGTTCTTGTTGCCCAGACTGGAGTGCAATGTTGCGATCTCGGCTCACTGCAACCTCCACCTCCTAGGTTTAAGCGATTCTCCTGCCTCAGCCTCCCCAGTAGCTGCGATTACAGGCATGCATCACCATGCCCGGCTAATTTTGTATTTTTAGTAGAGATGGGGTTTCTCCACGTTGGCCTGGCTGGTCTCGAACTCCCGACCTCAGGTTCCCTAAGTGCTGCCTTGGCCTCCCTAAGTGCTGGGATTATAGGCATGAGCCTTTGTGCCTGGTGAATTTTAAATTTGGGTGAGGGGAAGGAGAAAAGAAAGAAAAAAGAAAAGGA